AGAGCACTCACCCACTGAAAAGCTTATTATGAAAGAAGCTTGCAGTCTAAACATAGTCACAGACATCTGATCTGCTCTGAGAAGCTTGCTACCTTCCTCCTCTGCCTTAGCAAGCTGCCTCTTTCAGCCCCATTTCCCCTTATTTTGCAAGGTACTTGGTACCTTCTTAGGTGCTTAGCCAACATCATCAATTAAAATTAAAAATATAAATAAAATAAAATAAAAAAGGGGAGTAATAATTAAAGCAGTTTTCCTAGTGCCTGTACTATATATAATTTTAAATTTACAAATCACTAGTTGGTTCTATTGCTTTTGATTACAAAAGCAATAGTAAAAATAGTCACTGCTGCTGGAAAGCCATGTGGAAATAAGGGAACTTTGCGAGGAAATTGGATTTCTGATTCTTTCTGCCAGCTGAAGGATTGTGGGGTGTTTACATGGAACGGCCGGCTCAGAGTGGGTTTTAAGAATTTAAACAGAAGAGTGAGTTTGCAATTCAGCTTTTGTAAATGAAGTGCTGGGAATGGCCGTTGCTGTAGGCAGTTGCTACTGGAGGCATAGAGCGGCAGGCTGTGAAATGAACCTCCCCCCACTCTGTTTCTCCCTCACTAACAAAGCTTTCTAATACAAGTGGCCTCACCTGCATTCAAAAACATGCACATCTAGATCAGTATGTTGCAGGCAATTACCCAGTTTTCGCACTCAGTTTTAACAGTGCCTGGTATGCCAGTGATTGCCTGGCTCACAAGCAATTCTGTTTGGGAAGAGACTGTGTGCTCTAGGGATGTTAAAATATGTGTAATTAAATAACCATGTAATCACTGAACATTTCAGCAGTTACATGCAGGGTGGCAGCTGGCTCCCCATGCATACCAGCTCTTTGCCTGCCCTGCCCCCCTTCGCCCCCGCTGCTTCTGTATCAGGGGCAGCAGTCAGCTCCCCAGGAGCCAGCACGCATGGACAGCTGGCTTTTAAGCTGGCTCCCCGCATGTACTGGGAGCCTGTGTATAACCATGAACATTAACCAACGAGCAGAGTCTCATCGTTAATCGTGTACATGGTTACATTTTCACATCCCTTGCTCACTTTTGCATCTAAGCTGTTCGCATGAACGTGTGAGCTAGTTAGTACTGTACTTGAGAGTTCTGAGACCTGATACAGTGGAGTGGGCAGGTAAGCAGACAACTTCTCCTATGAGTGAAGTCCAATCTTCTATGTGCCCTGCATGATTCTCAGTCGTTAGCCAGCATTGTGTTATATGCTACCAAAAACTGCACATTACTAGGTAAGTGTGAAAAATCAAGTATTCCTCCCCAGCCGTCTGTTAGCATCCTGAGCTCTCTAGCACGTACAAGATACCTCACAGAAATAGGGACAAGGAAGCTCATTTCTGATGCACCACAAGGGGTAAGGTGAAGACCCAGAACACTGAAGTGGATGAGACTGTAGGGGGAAAAGACAATAAGGCTGTGTCTAGACTACATCCCTCTTTCGACAGAGGGCTGTAAATTAGACACGTCGAAATTGTAAACAAAGTGGGGATTTAAATATCCCACACATCATTTGCATAATCACGTAGTGGCACTCTTTCGAAAAAGCACCGTTTCGAAATTAAAACCACGGTCTAGACATGGTTCTTTCAAAAATGGCAGGCTTTTTTGAAAGATCCTGTAAACCTCAAAAAATGAGGTTTTTGAAAGAACCGCGTCTAGACAGACCGTGGGTTTACTTTCTAAATGGCGCTTTTTCGAAAGAGCGCCATTATTGAAATGAAGCGTGGGATATTTAAATCCCCAGTTCATTTGCAATTTCAATGTGTCTAATTTACATCCCTCTGTCGAAATAGGGATGTAGTCTAGATACAACCAAAGTGATGGGGGTGCTGAGGAGAGATTTAACATGGGCATGGAAACAAAGGACCAGATTTTTTTTAAAGTACTGTGGAAAAATACAATTCAAAGAAAAAAAAAAAGACAGAGCAGGATACAATATCTGTCCCTTATGACCCAGACAGTCAAAATAATTCATACTCAAGATATTCCTGACAACTAACAAGATGCTGCTGTACAGGGCACAAGCCACTTCTGATGACAGGAGTACAATGCCATTTATTACACCAGGGAAGGGTCACAGAACTAATGAAGGGATCTAGCTGTTCCAAATGGGGCCACCTAAGGCTCCCTTCTGTTCCTTCCTTTCACTTGTTTTGTTGATACGAACCACAAATCAGACAATCTCTAATAAGATTACTGCATAGAGCAGGCCTGGGCAGAATATGGCCCGTGGTCCAAATCCGGCCCACTAAGCAGCAGGGATCCAGCCTGCAGATGCAGCAGGGAGCCCTAGGCAGGCTCCCCTGCTTTCCCCACATGCTGCTCAATAAAGCGGCTGCTGGGCTGTTTCTTTCAAAACTGTGAGCCCAGGGGCAGAGGGGGAGGGCTACCTTCAGGAGCTGCCCCTGCCCCCAGCACGAGAAACTGGCCAATGGGAGCAGCCTGTTTGAATACTAGACAGCATATGAAGCACCACAGCCCCTCCCCTCCGGCACAGATACTGTATTCACACGAGAACATGGCCCTGCAGCCTGTGCAGGTGCAGAGAAAGCAGGAAGGCAGGCTGGCTAAGAAACATTTTAAGCTCTGCAAGCATTTAGCTCTGCAGGCAGGCAAGCAGGTTGGGCTGCTGGCTGGTAATTTTCCTGGCCAGAGCCTGCCTCTGGCACCCCAGTCCCTCCCTTCCCCAACCCTCTGCCCTCATACCCCCTCCCAGATCTGGCACCCCATGCCCTCCTGCCCTACGTCACATTCCAAAACTCTGCACCCCAATCCTCTGCCCTAGGTCACAACTGCCTCCTTCACCCAAACTCCATCCCAGACACCACTTTCCTCCCTGCACCCTAATCCCTTTTCCCAAGCTCCCTTCTGCACCCAACCTCCATCCCAGACCCATTAATATAATGGAAGAGTATGGCCCTCGACCATTTTCTAAATTTGAGTCGCCCTATCAAAAATTATTGCCCACCCCTGGCAGAGAGGCTACAATAAACATGTTTTACATGCTGAACTGTTTTTCAATTGCCTAAGCTGCAAGCCCTGATGCTGCTGCTTCCCCAGCTGAAAGGCATGCATTAGGCTGTGAAACCCTCTTTCAGTCTGACATAGCTATGTCGCAACAGGGCCACACTAAGGCGCTGTGTAGACTGGCAAGTTTTTCCCCGCAAAAGCTGTCTACACTGGCCGCTTTGAATTTGCGCAAGAACACTGACAATCTAATGTAAGATTGTCAGTGTTCTTCCGCAAATACAATGACTCTCCTGTTTGGGAAAAAGCCCTCTTGCGCAAATGCTTTTGTGCAAGAGGGTCAGTGTAGACAGCTGAGAACCGTTTTGCGCAAAAAAGCCCCGATAGCAAAAATGGCGATCGGCGCTTTCTTGAGCAAAACCGCGTCTAGATTGGCACGGACGCTTTTCCGCAAAAAGTGCTTTTGTGGAAAAGAGTCCGTGCCAATCTAGACGCTCTTTTCCACAAATGCTTTTAACGGAAAAACTTTTCCGTTAAAAGCTTTTGTGGAAAATCATGCCAGTCCAGACGTAGCTTAAGTGCTTTCTAGGGTTTATTCAAATGCGAGATTGAGCTCAGGAAGGAAAAAAACATGCACCCCCTCATAAAGCAGTCTAGGGAAGCTTTCTGCTGTTCCTGATAGTACTCCAATTTTGTGTAGTAAGGCAGTATCTCATGTGTCATCGTTTGGCCTAATTACTGTGATTATTTTGAGCAAGTTGAATCAACTGCTAAGCAACCAATTCATTTTTTTAAAAGCAAAATGCAGATGGATTTTCAAATGCAGCAAATAGTTGTGCTAAGAGGCACATTACAACCCTTCTAATCTCTGTTTTGAAAGTCAGGGTTTTTGTTTTGCTGCAGGGTCAATGCCCTGAATCAATTTCATTCTCTTATTAAACAAGAGTTATTACATTTCTTCAAATGAAAAAGCTCATGACAAAGATGGAAAAGGAGTTGAGTAATAGGGTGGGCTCTTGCACGGTTTTCAGTAACAGACAAAAACAGTATGTGTGGAACATAAGATAAGAAGCTAATTGGTTTCATAGCATAAGGTTAATGAACCATACCTAACAGTGTTGAACATGTTGATTGTTCCTAGGTTGCCATTTCTGGTATTCTAAAATACGTCATTCCCAGGTATGTGATCTTGGGATTATTGTGCAGTTATGCTTAAAGATGGAGGGGGCTAAAGGAAACCTTCTGAACCTTTTCATGAGGGGAAAAAATGAGGGGAAAAAATCAATTTCAGTCAGTAAAAGGAGAGAATTCTTCGAACTGAAGAGCTCTGAACTTTATTGCCGACTCTACTGCACTGGTCTTGAAAGGGAATTAAAAAATATGCCAGACATGGTTTGAAAGAGAGACAATGAACTTTTTGTTCTTGGACAGAGGTAGAGAACACTTGGGGCTCTTCAGTCAGAAAGTTTCACCCTCCAAATAACTGAGGGTGATGCACATTCTAAGAGTGGGACATCTCACGGTATAGCCTTGTGGCAAGTCATTTACTTTTAATGACATCCACCACAGGGTGAGAAGGGCAAGACCCACCATCAACATTCTTCCCATACTGATGAGACAGTGACAGTCACTGGTCACTTCTTCGGCTGTGTTCAAAGCAGACAGCTCTGTGTCTGGTTCCCAGCTACCTGAATCAGCTCATTGTCCCACATTTATGTATACTGACATAACCACAGGTAGCTGCCTCAATAGACCCAGGGGGAGAAAATGCCTGCCTGAACGTAGTTTAATATAATTTCTATATTAACTAAGATGATGATTCTAGGAAACGAAAACCCTCAGTTTGTGTTTTAAAAAACCCAGTTTATTACTGATATTGGAGGCCGTCATAGAAACATGCTTTGAATGAAACACTCCTCCCCTTTCCCTCCAGCTACATCCACAGGACAGCAAAATAAAGGGAACACTTTAGCTACTTACTCTGTAAATCTCCTCAAGCAGCAGCTTTGCACAGCTGAGGCCAAGTTCTTCTGGGAGCACTGCAGTTCCCTGGCCCTGGGGATTAGATGCCAGTTCAGCACTCAGAAAAGTGCCATTGGTGGTTTCTGCAACAAGAGACAGGCCAAAACCTGGAGACCTGAAAGACAGTGACAGAAATGAAAGGTATATTTGACTAGAATATACAAAAAAGTTGAAAGAAATGAGTTGATTCTAACCTTCTCCTATAGGTCTCCCTTTTAAAAGTGCTCTCTGCTAGGAGGCTACTCGATCTGCACTGAACACTTTCTCTAATTACATTTCAGGATTAATAAAAAACAACCAGTGTAATAGTTGACAGCTTTTCTCTCTCTGCCATTCCCAAGCCTAACATGAATAGTTTTTATATGTTCATTTAATTTATTCCCTGAATACAGCTGCATCTAGAGTAACTGAAAAGTGTTTCTTTTCCACCTCATTTACAATCAAAAAAACAAACCAAACATTTGCCCAGGAGCCAAACTCTTTGGACAGTTGCTTCAGGATTTGGCAAGATCAGACCTCGTAATATGACACAAGATGCAAGTAATTAATACTTTGATCCGGTATTATTCACTGGCTCTCCTTGACTTTTTCCACTTTAAGCCAACGACAAGTCAGAGATTCACTTGTACAGAAGAATTCCACACTTCCTGTTTTAGGGCAGAATTTCTTTACTACAAAGCCCAGAATAATGCCAATACACAAAGTTACCTCATATTAATGAAGGTGTTTAAGGTGGACATTGTCTCACAGAAAAGTCAGCAGACCTGAAGAAGAGCTTTGTGTGATTTGAAAGTGTGTCCCTTTCACCAACTGAAGTTGGTCCAATAAATAGAAAACCTTGTCTCAGAAATCCACAGGATAGCTGAGCTTAGGTTACTGAGAAGTCCAAACAATACCCTTTGTCTTTTGTTCACACAGTTGTCTCATTTTAAACTTTAGAAAAAAACCCTGACAATTGCTATTACATCAAGTTAGATTAACTCTCCTCAGTGTGTAAGTTTTCCTACAACAAGTGAACTAGGGCAGTGTTTCTCAACCTTTTTTTATAAAGTTGAAAAGAAAAAAAAAAGTTAAAAGTACCCCCAGTACCTAATTTTCGGACCATTTTTTTTCCACCATTGCAACACATACGTTTAAACAACTTAATCATAGCTGGGTGGGCAATGAAATTGTTGGGTGTAAGAAGTACAAAAAGAACCAAGTGCTGTAAAAACGAAAATTCAGTTTTCTCCAAATTTCAGTTGTGTTGATGTACCCCCAAGACTTCTCTTGAGTACCCCTAAGGATACTCGTACCACTGGCTGAGAAACAGTGAACTAGGGAAAGTGTTGCTGGACTCCCTCTCCACTACTCATCAGAATGGTCTACATCGAAATTCATTACTACTGACCTAATAGCAAGGAATGCCTCCAAGCTGAACACAGAGTAAAAAAAACTAAACAGCCAAATATACTGTCTACCTCTTCAATGCTTTTAGTGCCACTCAGGATTATTATAGCTCCTGAATACCTGATAAGATCTAAAAGTCTCAAGGGGGTAGCCATGTGAGTCTTTAAAAACAACAAGCAGTCCTATGGTACCTTAGAGACCAACAAAATATATATATATATATATATATAT